AACCTCCCTCGACCTGCTGGCCACACTCCTCTTAATACACCCCAGGATACCATTGGCCTTCTTGGCAACAAGGGCACATTGCTGGCTCATGGTCAGCTTGTCGTCTACCAGGACTCCCAGGTCCCTCTCAGCAGAGCTGCTTTCCAGGAGGTCAGCCCCCAGCCTGTACTGGTGCATGGGGTTTGACCTCCCCAGGTGCAGCAAATGCTGCACTGCAGCCTGGGCCTTTGTGGGGAAGCATGGTATCACAACACATTCACTTGCAATGCTGTTATGCTTACGGAACAGACCCGAAAAGGAATTTTTAGAACACGCACACATCATCTCACGCAGGAGATCAGTGACCGATATTCAATTTTTATACCCAATTCCAGTCTGCTTCCAAGACTGCAAGAACCTCCTTTCAGGATAAGGTAAGCTATGTTTTATAGTCTATGCTATAGTATTATATTCTTATATTATATAAAGAATTCTATATTATACAGAATATACAGAGAGAATCTATACCTACATAGATTACATAGAATATATATAGTATCTATATATATTATAGATTATATATCTATATTATGTAGAATTCTCTATTATTCTATTCTATACTATATATATAACATTATATTCTAGAATATTCTTATATTCTATTTTATAGTCCATTCCAGACCGCTTCCCATATTCACAGTCCTCCTCCAGAGCAAATCTGAGGAAACTCTCCCCGCATACATTTCCTACTGGCTGAAAGTGTGCACACGGGTGCTTTTAAAAGCTGTAAATCGCACCCAGGATATACTGTGGAAATAGTATTTGTGCAATAACATACAACAGAAAAAAGACAAAAAATAAGATAAATCCTCTGTTCTCTCGAAACAGGGACAGAATAGAATAAGATGGAAAAGCAATGAATTAACAATTAAAAAAAAAATCAATTAAGCAGAGGCAGCAGGAAAGGCTCAGTAACACTGGGTATATTTCCAATGCCAATGAAATAGTCTTACCTTGATAAACTGAATTATTCCATCGGGGACACCAGTCTTGCTCAGTTTTTGTAAATACTCTGTGATGTCGCTCGTTTGTAAGCCAACACTAACAGCAGCATACAGTGAGTACGCAGTCAGCTTGTACTCGTGAATGTGGGTCGGTCTGCACACAGGCTCAGCAATGGCAACCAAAAAGTCCTGTGCATATTTGTAAACTGGAGAGAAAGCTTCCAGAAAAATATGGCCATCAGGAGCCTATAGAAATAAAAAGAAATGTTGAAGGCACAACCATGTTAGCTGAACAGAATCAGGAATCTCCTACGAAGCAGCCATTATGATACAGGGACCATCCACTATTCATGTAGTAATGCATCATAGGGTTTCAAAAAACATGTTTGCTCTAACAAGGAAGTTGCAAAAGAAAGACGAAAGGAGACAGGAGCACAGAACTTGTGTCTTCTGAAAAGGTCCCAACATTGATTTGTCTGTGTCCCTTCTATGGCACTAAGAATAAACCACACCCAGATCTAGTAAGCTTTCCCAGACTGACATGTTGGGGTATTTTTTCTTTTTTAATGCTAAGCAAATTGCCTGAGCAGAGGCAAGCTTCCAGCCCCATTCCCCTGACACGAAACCAAACCCCTCACTCATTTGACACAGAATGAACGGAGGAGGAGAGATGGCACTTGTGTGTCACAGCATTCAGTAACAGATGCCCTGCGGACGCCGGCAGGGCAAACACCTCTTCTCTGTACGCTTGCGCTACTGCCCGTGTCTCGGACGAGCCTTTCAAGGCAGAGAAAACAAACGGTACCAGTTACAGAAGACGAGCCCAGCCTGTCTTAAGGCCGTTTCATTCCAGCGTTACAAACCCCGTTGCTGTGTTGCTGCAACAACACATCCCACTCGTGTCACTGGCCAACGCAGTCGCTTCCACAAGCCATTTTACCTTCCTCCCAGGAACATCTGGCTTAAGGTGCTCCACTGCCCCGTCTGGTTGAGGACACCCCCACAGCAAGGGATGCCTGACAGAGAAGGGGGGGCCTGCGAGGAGACTGCCGAGATGGGAGCAATTCACCCGGGCTTTCCGGGGGCTCCCGGGCAGGGGCTGGTGGTGTTACCTCA